TCAGAATACTGTAGTTGGAAGGGTTTGGATTGTAAATCTGACTCTTGTGCAGGACAAATCCAAGCACTGTGTTGGACTTCAGATTCCTCACCCACCCTGGTTTGCTCAACATTTCCCTTTCTTTCACTCATCTAAGTTTTCCCTTGTCTAAGAGTACATTTGTTTTCTTTATTAAGCTACCTGACATATTTGAGGACAACTTAATTTAGCATAAAACATAACATACGCATCGGCCTCAACTATGTGTATGCAGGACAAAAGAAACTGGGGGGAAGATGCAACCTACCTGATGTATGTTGGATACAGTTCAGTGTTTACAAAGCAAACCATTTCAAAAGCCATTGTAATTCCCATTCTCCCAATGCAAGAAGTAATCACTTTTAGCCAATGTATGTCTGCAGAGAAAATACATTCAACACACTTAAAAGTATCCCAGCAATTTAGAAGGTATCGTTAATGCACCAGTGTTATTTTGGGGATCTCTGATTGCATGTCAGTTGATGTTTTTAAGGGACCTTATTTCACCTGTGAGTGAGGGAATGGGAACAGTCAGCACCACATGAGCAGTGGCACAGGGACCCCTAAAAAGCAGCACAAAGGACCCAGAGGGCAGAGTAGGATGCCCCAACAGGGCCCCATTCTGGTGACTTACCTTCTGGGATCAGGGCTGTGACAAGGCAGGCAGCCCCAGCCACCAGGTTTGACACAGCCCAGGGGTAGCGCCGCCCGACACGGTCAATAGTGATGAGGATGATGAAGGCAGCTGGGAACTCAACAAGTGCAGAATAGAGAAAATCCAGATACATGTTCCCACCAGCCATTCCCATGTGCATGATGAGCCCCTGGTAGAGGACAGAGCTTGTGAACCTGGGCAGGAAAGAGCATCCCGGATTTGTTAGTCAGTGTCTTGAGGGAGTTTTCAAAACCAGAGCTTCACAAACAGCATTCTAACATTATATTCTTACCAGTTGTACATCAAAATGAGCGTGTTTTTTCTTATTTGTGGTGTCCTAACAAGGTCAATTAATGAAGGATTCTGCTTTCCACAATCTTCCTCTTCAAATTTAATATCCTGTGGAAGAGCCAGTTATTGTATGTTAAGTTTCTACTGGGAGGAACTGATAGAAGGTGCTGTGGTGATGCTTACTTACATGCACAAGCAAACCCTGAGCTTACCTCAAAATGTGAAGGTATCTTTTTCTGATTTTTTTTAGCCATATCACTGATAATTTTCATAGCTTTGTCATTTTTTCCTTGAGATATCAGCCACCTGGGAGACTCTGGGAGGCACCTACAACGTGAATGGATGGCATTATACACCAAAACATAAAGCCCCTGTAAGTCAGCTCATGTATGGACACTTTGGAGAGAGTGCTTTGACTGAATACAGGCAGCTGTGTCTGGGTGGGGTTTGTGTGATCCTTTCCCCTCCCTCACCTTGTATCCCATAGCTGAGATGGGAGAGGAGCAGTTGTGGTACTGGCTTTAGTCAAATATGAGTTCACTAAAGTAAAATCGGGGAAGTGCTGTGAGTGAGAGGAGTGCCCATTCACCATAAACCAGCTCCTCTTAGGGAGCAATTTTCCTGTTCTGTCATTTCAAGTAAAGAAATAGTAAACAGGATAAACTGGCTTAACAATTCAAAAATATGGAAAAAGAAAGGCAACAAATTTCTTTCTGCTATTCCTAACCTCTTGACCATGAAGACAGTTTCTCAAATCCAAAGCATTCAAACTGAAAAATATCAAAATGAGAGGAGATAAGCCAAAATGAAGGTGAAACCACATGCTGATTTTATGTTGATCACAAAAAAATGCAGCTTTTTTTCCTTAAAAGAACACTTGCTAACAACCTGTTACAGTTATGTTAGCATTATACATTCTCTCAATAACCATATTTTCAGGGTAGGGTCCACTAAAATATGCTAAGGCACTTATTTTCCTTTACAAAATGCTAAAAAGAAAAGAAGTTATTTTAATCCACTTTTCCCTCGGTGTTTTTCAGAGTTGTCTATCTTTTAAACACAGGTCAGGTGAGGTGCACAGGCTAAGGTTCAACAAGATCTCAGTTTTTGAGGGATCCTATTTCCCTCTCCTTTTAGCTGTGAACCTCCTCTTTGCACCAAGAGGTGTGCACAACCAGAGAGCAGTGCCAAGTCTCCCCCGGTATCAAGCCTCGGGAAGCAGGAGAAGCTAGGGTTTTTGGGTCATGGTCAGAGGTACAAAAGCCTATTTACCAGTAGTAGAGCAGGAAGAAGCAGCTGGGCAGGGTGACAGTGAGCTGCAGCCACCGCCAGTGAGGGATGGCGTAAGCGATGGCATCAAAGATCAGGAGCCCAACGGAGAAGGCTGTCTGGTAAAGGATGCCCACTGTCCTCCGGTACTGCGGGCCCACGACTTCTGTCACTGCAAACATGCACAGAGACAGGTGAATGTCACGAATGCTCAGAGCAGGAGTAACTTGCTATGTGGGAATGCTGGAAGACCAATGCTAATACTAATGCCTTGAAGAAACTGTCTTGGTAATCGTGTGCCTCCTGGCATAATGCCTCCGGACAAAATCCCCCGGTGCTCACAGAGGAAGGTTTGCTTTTCTGTCACCCAAACTCCATCAGAGAAGAAAACACTGCTCCTCCTCTTACAATGGCCTAAGACATCCAGTACTGTCCTCTGTCATGGAGATCAAGTAAAACAAGCATTCGTCAAAGTGTGCTGGTGGATGTTGTTGTAAAATCTAATACCAACATCCACAATGTCTCCAACCCAATAACAAAGCAGAACATTTTGTTTCCAAAGTGCAGCCTTTCAGCCTGCATCTCAGTCTAAGGACGTAAAGAAAAGCCTGTATCACAGGATGGCACAGAGCAGCTCCCTGGTCAGGGCAGCATCACAATTCATCTGCATTTTGCAACTCCACATCACGGAGTAGACCCACAGGTTAAGTCTTCCTGATATAGGGTTAAAAGTAACCATTCCAGCAGGCAGGCACAAGTACACTCAGGTTGCATCCAATTGTGTGATTTCAAAAAAGCAAATGGATTAGAAAAAGTATAGAAAGCAGCTATTTAGCAACTAAAGGAAGTGCTGGGTTTTGGAGCCATGGATTAACTAATAGTGCTTGGCCAAATGATGCACAGAAACATCTCCTCAGGCTCAGTGGGACTAAGTCAAAAGCAGCTGAAGCGTAGACAACTGCCCCAGGAGAGCAGGATAACAAGGTTGTTCTGTCCTTGTACCCTTCCCTGGGCATTCAGCATTGGCCACCCTTAGGGAGACAACACATGTTTAAAGGGGCTTTGGGACTGATTCTAGACAACATCCCTCTCATGAAAGAGTTTCAAGAGAATGCAAAAGTAACAAGATGTAACTGAGAGAATATATCAGGATATGGCAAATCGTTGCCCTGAAAGGGACTTGTATTCTAAAATGGCATAAAGCTCTCCAGAAGAGGTGATGAAGATTTCATTTCTGCCAGGAAAATATTTAAGAAGCCAAGTAAGCATCTATAAATGCATAGGAAGGAACAATCATGTCTTGGCAGAAGACAGTCTGGACTGTGGGATAGATGATTTTATTATATTTGTATCAGATGTCTGGATAACTGCATTAGCAAGATGTCCTCAGTAGAAGCAAAGTTTAGAACATTGACATTTACATTTTTACCACAATCATAGTGAACTGCATCACTCAGAGCTATTTGGTAGAGCCTCCTGACATCCTAACCCAGGTAAGGCTCTATTGAGTAGTGTTTAAAATATTTAATCTGCTGCTTTGGTGATTCTTTGGTTTTGGAAATTTTGGACTGGATACTGAACTCCACTCCAGAGAAATCAGAGGTGTCCCAGGCATCTCTAACCTGCACCAGAAAATAGTCCTTAGATGGCCCCAAACTCAACCTGGCACCACAACTGTGCTTCATCACCAGACACAATTGGTGCAGGGCACTGGGAGAGTCACCCACACAGCTTGGCTCCCCCCACTGCTCAGCCTCCACCCAGACAAGTGGATCCACAGAGACCAGCTGTTTGCATATCTTTCTCAGCAAGTACATGCTGTTCCTCAGTTATTTTTAGGCTGTGAAGCCTCTGTTTGCCCTTTAATGCTCTTTGTGTCATAAAAATGCCTCAAATTTTCCCCACCCCCTGCCTGCTTCATTAATGGCCTCCTCTGTCATCATCCTATCTGTGACTGGGCTGGAGCAGCTGCCTGGTGCCAGCGTCTTCCCCAGCCAGAGCCCAGCGGGAGGAAGAGGAACCCAGGAGCCCAGATCTGCAAAGGTGAGCTGTATCACTGGGGAAAGCCTGTCTTGAGGTAACAGCCCAAATATACCACCACTCGCTTGAGCTCTGAAGACTACTGTTGTTTCTCCCTAATGACAGTGCTTAAAAAAAATCCCAAGAAGTCAAAGAAGGAGAAAATTCCTTGGTAAAACATCACAGGAGGCATTTTTTAAATGGCTTGTTATCAGGTTTCTCAGAGTTGAGTATTTTCCTTCATCTTCTGCAGCTAGTCTTGCTCCTGGGAGAAAGTCTGAACTCACCCAGGATGTAGCCTGCAGTCCAGCAGCCCTTGCTAACCAGCCCTTGCAAGAACCGGATGATGACTATCCACAGGTAGCTGGGCACAAAGACCAGAAGGATTCCACAGACAACATTTGCAAGAATTGTGGTTAAGAGGCAAAATTTACGGCCAAACCTGTATTGGAAAACAATATGCATGAAGCAAACCACTAGTCATGAAAGAACAGGTGTTTTAAACTAGTAAGTGTTTTATGTATCTTTGGGAAACAAAAAATACCCAGTTTTGCTATACAAGGGAGAGAAACAAGATTTTATTCTTCACCCATTGCTCACTTACCTGCTTTTCTATTCCCTGAAAAGTTACTGTGGCAGTTGCTCTGCAATTCCATAAAAGCTTTCAGAAAAACAAAGAATAGTCCCATATGTGCATGTATTTGGATTGTGACTATTATCCCTGAATTTCAGAACAGGCAGCTTAGTAATCTGTTGGGGTTTTTATTAACAGGGGTGAAAAATAAGTATGGGTTAATATTATGATTCTGATGTGTCTGTGTGTACTAAATTGATAAAGGATTTATATACAACAATCTTAATCATATAAAAAAAAAAAAGAATGTATAAATCTCCTTGTGAGTGGCCTTCATTTCACAGCAGGAGCAACTCAGAGCTTGCGGGACTAACGGTCCTAGGCAGGAGGGGAATGAGGTGGGAAAAAGGTCTTCAAATACTGGCAGTTGTTTCTCTTTAACCCCAAGTGCCTGAGCTAGGGAGTCTCTGCTGGCTCTGAACAGGGAGCTAGAGATGCCAGGACACAGGCATTTCTGCTTTTTCACAGCAACTACTGTGACCCATCTGGCAGTCTATGTGCCTACTATTTCTAAGGTTCTCCAAACAAAACAAGATGTTTCCAAGCTGCAGTCACACAGAGTGTGACAGATCAAGTTGAAGATCCAAAGCAGCATTTCTGGGCTTTGATTAATACCCCAAGGGCTCTGATGCGGCACAGTAGGAAGTTTGGGGTGGACAGTACTAAAATAGTCCTCACGGGCACTGCAGGACTTGCTAAGCAGCAGATCTGTGCTGACCACCAGGTATAGCCTAAAAGGCAGGTACTCACTCCTCATACTGTGACTGAAATCTAGGTGGTTGATCTTATTCTGAGAAGAGCAGCAATGATACCAGTTGCACAACCTTTATCTAAGCTTAGCTGCTGAATACTGATAGGGGAGGTCAGAGGGTTTTGCTGTCAGCCCACACATACCTGTCTGCAATGTAGCCAATGTTTATGGAGCCAATAAAAAACCCAGCATTCACAGAAGACTGAAAGAGGTCCAACTTCCAGGAATCCTCACACACCAGGTCAAACTAAAGGAGCAACCACAGTCAGAGGCAAAAGAGTGAAATGAGGAGCTGGCTCACAAGTCTCCATCACTTCAGTTAAAAATTTAACATTGCTTCCTGCTCATCACCCATTTTGTCAGCACACACAAATCCTAGCAACTTAACTAAGTGTCCAGCATTAAATACTGGAACAAGCCCTTGTGCAGTTCCAGTATTTAATACCTTACTGGTATTTCCCATTGATGACTCATCTCTCTTTACTGCAAAGAACATAAGTTAGTTATTACTTGTCAAAATCAGTGCCCTAACTTCTGTTGGCCCTTGTGGATCCGCATGGACTTGATGATGGCTCTGAGTTTTTCCAAACAGCTTCTTTTTGTGGCTGATGGTAACCTTGCCAAGCAGTTCTTGTTGCCTTATACCCTCATATACCACAGTGGTCCCTGCAGACTTCTCAGGATTTAGGCTGATGCCTTTTTACTAAAAGTATCCTAGATACCTGCAGAAGCCTGCCTTGTCCCTTTTTCCACAGAGCACTGGCTCCCTGCAGGAGGGTGGGAGGAAGTTATCTATGTCTGTTCCGTAGCCACAGTATTTTCTCTCTGCTCTGGTCTTGAGCTCAACTAAGTTGTTTTATGTGTCTGGAGAACAGGTATTTTGTATGCAGGGCCAAGCTTTATATCACATGGGTACACACATATTTGCCATCAGACCTGACTTGTAGATGTACATAAAAACTACTGAAGAATAAGTTATTTCAAAAACCCCTCCTAATGTCACTGAGAATCCCCTCCCATCCTGCTGGTAGCTAGGTTTAATTCAATCTATGCATCTGTAATCAACATAAACCCAGATATTCCTCCTAATGCTCTGTGAGACTTCCCATGAAGACATTCTTCTATATGTAAATTTTTCCTTTGGTCAATATAGCACACTTTACACTGTACTATCTTACCCTTGCTTAGCTGTCAGAGCAAGGGACAACAAAACAGAGCCTGAGAGCTTTCATGGAAACAGCCACGACCAGAAACTCATTGACAGTATGCACACAGAGGCATGTGACACGTCTGGTTATCCCATGAAGCAAGCAGCCTGTGGGACTGGTCTTGCACCCACGTTAGCAGAAAAAGGAGGATGACTGCTTTAAGAGCATGACTGCACTAACCCATACAGACTGCAAGTTTTCAGCTTCCCACAACCTCATGAGATGATGCTGGAGGCATCTGGACCACAGCATCTGCTGGAGCCTTTTGTAGTGAGATGTGCCTGCTGAGCTGCTGCTGGGTCAAGGTCACCCACCATTTGAGGTTACAAAACTATAAATGCTGAAGTTGCTAGAGCATGGAATTTACCAGCTCTTGTGTGTGTGTGTTAGATATATGGGGGAAAGAATCTTGACTTTCGTCATCTCTGAAAGTTTGGTGGAACTTACTATGATGAAATCAAGCCTGTCATCCCAATTACTGGTTTATTTTTAAGGTTAAAGCACCTAAACTGCTAAAGTACAGCAAATAGCTTAAGTACCATTTTCAGTTTATTCACACCCTGTCTGAGAACACAGAACAGCCATCAGCTTATCTGCAGTTTATTCCTGACTTAAGCAATTACCTTTCCCCCACCTTAGTATTTGAAACCAGTTTTAAAAGACATTATACATTTAAAAAACGTTATTCATTTCAAAAAATGAAAGGGGCAGGGGGAAGAAATGAAGACCTTTGCATTGGCCGATTTTGTTTGCAGTGCTGCAAGCCACACTGTTTACACACCTCCACCAATCAGACCTCTCATGTGACAGCAGTTGCATACACAACTGGACTTTATCTACCAGGAATTTATTTGCTGAAATATTTTTTGCTCCACAGCTAGAGATATAAGCAGCCAAGGCAACACTTCATAGCAAGGACAGAGGGAAGATGACCTGTAAAGCCCCTGGTGCAAGTTCACAACAAGAGACAATCCCTTCTCCGGGTAAGCTGGCAACATTTTAGTGCAGCCACGGCTACACCAACCCTCTCCCACGACTGTCAGCTTGTCTGGAGCAGAGGGGACAAGGGAAAGGGGGCACTTGTTTTTACCTCAGTCACGAGAGAGCTCCCTGGAGAGTTGTAGACCCAGCCATCCCGGCAGGGACCGAGGGAGACGGTGCTTCCATTGCTCACGAGGCTGCCAAGGGGGTCAGTGCAACTGACACCCGTCGCATTCCAGTCCACCTCGTACCGACTGCAGCGGCTGTCATAACTGGCCCCGTGGCCATCCCACTTGGGAACTGTGTAATTCAGCTGCTCCTCCAGGCTCCAGCCACACTGCTGGCTCAGCTCAGCCACCCCAGGACTGAAGCAGTGATGCTCAGGGATGAACCCAAAGAAGACAACACCCACGTACACTGGGGTGAAGGCAGCAGAAAGCAAACACAGGACAAAGAAGGTTTGCTTCTGGAACCTGTCAAATTCTCCAACATGCTCTAAAATGTCATCAAGGGTTGGCATTTTGGCAACAAAACCACCTCAAAGACTTCAAGGAGGTCCTCTCTGCAGCACTAATATATTTAGTTGGCAGCAAAGCTGTTTAAGTAACAAAGACATTTGACCAAAAGTCAAGACTAACTCCATAAATTATTAAACTACATGTTGCAAGCTTTATTTTTTAGTTTTCATTTGAAATTGGACCTTAATTCACCCAGGGGGAATTTGCATTTAACCCCTTATCAGAGTGCATATATGTTCCTTTTCTCCAGAAAAGCCCCTAACACACACAGCCTTTTAGTTTTTGTTGGTTTGGGGTTTTTGTTTCAATGAGGCTAGCCAGCTCCTCAGATAACAGGCAAGTTTAAGGAGCAAACATAGACTGAAAGTTCCACCAACATATAAACAACATGCAAGTTTAGTGTAGGAGTGGCTGGCCACCTCATGTGAACAAGGCTTATTAACCAGGATCTGTAAAGAACAGGTAAGTATGCTATGAAAAAGCAGTATCTGTACATTGAACAGAAAAGGAACAGCTTTCCTGAAAACTCTGGTATCATGTCTCACCCCTCACTCTCCACACTTCCATTTCCAAGGAAAACCTCTCCACACCTGTATGAGAGAACACAATTTTCACCTGACCATATTTTCCCAGTGATACAAAAGAGAAAAAGCATTTGATACAGAATTATGCACTGGGAAGACAAATACAATACTTATGGACAAAACAGCTATTTTTTACCACAGACCTGTAAGACTAGATAGACTTCAGTGCAGACCACAAATAAGTCCAATTATATCAGGTACTTTGTCCTGCCTATGGATAGACACCAGCTACTCCCATATCTTCTGCTGATAACAGTGGTTTCCATCAGAAAGAAAAGCATCAGTAAAGGTAACATTTTAAAGATGGGGGAAAAAGTGAAAAAATGGTCTGGAAAGCAACTTACACTTAGGCAACACTGAAAATAATTAAAAAAAAATAAATCAAAGACCTCCTCTCAATACACTCCAAAAAATAAATCAGCTTAGAAGACTATTCAGACCTGGGGATTGAAACAGAATCAGTTCTTCACTTGGTCTCACTGCCCATCAGCCCCAGAGCAACTATGGCCTAACTAGCCATGAAAGCTGCTTTGCAGACCAACACTTGAGGATCATTCTCACATCACACACTGCCTCCTCCTCCACAGCAAGTTAACGAGAAACTCCTCTCCTGTGGCCACCCACAGCTGTGTAACCCCAAGCCCAGCACAGCACCACCACACATCAGACTTTCACCTCTCTGGCTGCAGGCGCTCCACGTGGAGCTGTGGAGGGGAACAGGGGCACAAAAGTGCACAGCAGTGGCCACACTAACAGCCAGCTCCCACAGCCTTCCTCAGCAGAGGATGTGTGCTGGGGCCAAGGAAACTCAAGTCAAAGCCTACCTGGGATGTGGGTGAAATGTAAAGGCATTAGGCTGTATCTTAAAAGCACCCACAAAGCCCCCTCACATCACTTCCTTTCCTAGCAGTTTTGTTTAAGTAGCTGGTAATGGTGTGCGCAAGTTTCACACGAAAAAAAACAGATCCAGACTGGGCCTGTTCTCCTTATTTTCCACCATTATCTCTGCAGTCCAGACAGGGACTGGGTGGCAGTGTGCCAGGCAAGTGGGTTTCTTAGAGGCTCACTTCCCAGGCAGTTGTGCAGCTGACTGGCAGGGTTTCTGCTCCTGGCTTAGCCACCTGTACATACTCATCTGGTCCCTGCTTTTCTCATAACCATCAGGACAGAAGTATAAGTAGGGTATTTACTGGGAAAATAGTCTGGTGAAGCAAGTCACACATCCAGCTCCAAATAAGGTTCAGCCAGCCTACATACAAATGCCTAAATAAAAAGTGGGCACTAGTTCCAAGACCAGGCACTGAAGTCACTCAGTGCTGTCAGATGCAAATTAGAAATATATCATTGATACTGCTCAGATAAGCACTCCCAGGCACAGTACCTCTAAGACTCATTAGGCAGAGTCACAACAACAAGACCATGTAGCATTATGCATGGGAAATAGTTTCATACAGCAAGATCAAACAACTCCAAGACGCCAGCCTTGAAGACTTGGGGATGGGAAGCAGCACTCTTCAACACCCATTCAGAGAACTGTTGCAGTGGTAACTGAGAGTATTAAATGTACACCGTGTCAGGCCTCTCATTACCCCCAAGCTCACCTAATCCTAAATATGAAAAATGCTGCTTTTGTTTTAAGAATTACAATATGTAGCTTAAGCCAAACTGACTTACAGCTCCACTGGAAGCAATACAAGAAGAACACCCAAGCCTGATAAAAGAAAGAGTATACCACTAGGGCCTACCTATATATTCTGATCTCAGTTGTCAAATATTGTTTCTCATTTTGAGTGACATGATTGAGACATTAGCTGTCATAGTAAAAAAGGGTATCATCAGGCTGGTGAACAAATTAGTGTAAGAAAGATTCCGGACTTGAGATGTGGGATTTGGAATACCCACTTCATATCTTTTATTGAAATTGCTGAATACTTTATATTACACTATTTTGATTCAAAATGGAGTTTTTATAAAAAGAAACCATTGTTGAAACTGAGTAAGCCAGCCAAAAGGAACAACAAAATTTTCAAAAAATTCTGACCAATGCATATACTTGTACAATGCTTTGAAACCCTACCATTGTCCATAATTTTATTTAGGAAACACCTGGAGAAGAGCAAGACCGATAGAGGAAAATTGACCTGCATTCATTACCAGCAACATTTCAAATCAATTACCATGGCCAGGTTCATAGCATAAGAACTGGAAATTAGGCTATCAGAAAACATTATTTTTCTTGAAATTAATACCAGAGAGAGGTATTATGCCAACTAAGGCTCCTCGAGTTGTTGGACTTTTCTTGGTGATGACAAACTGGGCAGTGGAGATTGTATTATAGGAATTCTGCCTCTATGTCCTTGAAAACTCTGCTTCTCTGTGCAGTCAGCCTAGTCCAGCCATAATCGAAGGAAAAAAGTAAATCTTTGGGTGCTTGTCAGCTGCTTAGGCAAATACTGATGAAGTAAGTCATATGACCAGTACCAAAACAAAAAAAAAAAACTCATGCGAAGAACAGCAACCATCTCAGGCTAAAGCTATATAGAACTGTACCTTTCAGTCAACACCTCTGAACCAATGATCTGTTTAAATTAGAATGGATATTGAAATTTACAGGATAAATTAGACCAGTTCCAAAATTTACATCAAATCATCCCAACACACAAAAGTTGTATTTTTCCTTGTCTTACGACGGGTGAACCCATAGAATAATACCCTGCCGGCAGGAAGAACATGTTACTATTAAGCAAACCTGAGTAGTGAGGATCAATAAATACAAGGAGTTAAAATGACAGTAGTCAGAGAACTTGAGTCTCAGGAGCCAGGGGCTTCGTTGAGCCTTAATCCTCTCCTTTCAAAGGTTTCTCTTTTTTAAGCAAGCATTTATCAGCTACGCTGAGGCTTTAAAAAAAAAAAAAAAAAAAAAAAAGTTTCCTGGCTAGAGAGAGTCAATGTAACTCAGCCAACTGGATGTCAGAAATCCAGTCATTACTGAACAGATCATTGTAAACAACCAAGAAATCTCTCTCTTCTTCCCTTTTCACTGGTTTCTTGTTTAAAGGCAAAATTCAGAAAAATCTTTCAGGCTGAAGTCCTCATATTTGGTTGGAAATGCTGTCCCATTATATATAATCTCTCTATATATATTTGATTAGGCACAAGAGAAGTTATTAAATATTCAACAAGTCCTCATCACTATCATCATGAAACGATACTGTATTTGTAGAGTTCTGTGCCTGCTGCTGGCCTGGCTTGGCTTTTGCTTTCCTTTCCTTTCCCCCATTCAGCAAATAAGCTTTGTCATTGTCAGGACCGGGTGGCTTCTTTTGTGGGTGCTTACTCTTGTCTAGTCCTCTTCCTGTCTGAATCTTTACATCTGGAATGGTCAACACTTCATCCTCACTGTCCAGGTCATCCACACGGAGAGAGGTAAAGGCTTCAGATGTAACAGACTTGGTAGTAATGTGACCATTCTCCTGCACTCCTTTTGCTGTTCTTTGATTTGGTGCTGCAACTTCCTCCATAAGCCACTCTGTTTCATTCTCATTAGCTTCTTCTTCACTGTTTATCTGCAAGAAAAAAGAAATGTAAGAGGACACTGCATATACCACTCGATTCTTTGCCACACACTGATCTCCCAGTCGTCAGTCATCACACCACACGTAGCCTTGGGTTTAACATAGCCATAAGACAGTAACACTGCAATAGCATTGCTTTTCACTATGTTGAAACAGACTTTGTTCTCGTCTTCTACATTTGCATGTCATTTGGTGATTTATGGACTGCTCCTCATTTCCTCAACTCTATCTTCCTTTCCTATTTCACAACACAATTGTATATATCTCAGCTACATGGCTTTCCTGAAGCCACACAGCATGGTTTCCATGCACTGAAGGAACTAGGAATTAAGGGAGTGTATTTATTTATTAACAAAAGCTTCATATTAAGAAAATTTGACATGAAACAAATTTGACTTTGTCACTGTATTACCTTTGTGTATTTGTAGGAAACACCAGATGTTCTTCTGCAGCAGTTCGTTATCTTGTTTATTACGATTTCCCTAAAGAAAGGGAAGAATAGCACATTAGGAAGACTGTATCCCCTCATTAGCCCACACTTTTCTTCACTGGATTTACCATCAACATAAAGCATTTCAACAAGCAAACTGCAATCTACTGCATGATGACCCTTGACCCTGAACCACTCTAATAAAATTCAGTCTGTGATGATGTACATCTTCCCCCTTACCACAGCTTCACGGTGACTGTTCTGAAACACCTCTGGCCTTCATGTCTAGGAAAAAAAGCCAAACTTGTCTGAAAAGCAGAGGAACAGCAGGACTTGCACTTGTTCCTTGCCACTGCTGTATGGTTTCAGCTTGACACCATGAAAGGAGAGGGATATCAAATACTAACAGTACT